ATATCATTTCTGTAGAGATTTACCGCCAAAGATTTGTCTGCGCCAGATAACTGATAGGATAATAACCTACATTGATAGATGACTCTTCACCAGTTTTCCTCCATTCCTCCGACACCTCATCAAACAGCTGGCCGCGACCTCTGACGGGTAAGCGCACGCCAATGAGTCCCTCCTCGTAAGAAATATCATTGTTATCCTGAAACGTTTACATCTTAAAAGTTAATTGAGGATCAGCGGGTAAACTGTCTGACCAACAATACTGGTCTGAGAAAGAAAGGGAAATACGACTAACGTGAATAAATTTCCCCACCCTCCACCCCACATAACAGATCGTTTTGCGAGTCAGCAAGATCAAGGGAATTCCGTGTTTCGCTTGGCTACCAAAACGGACCAGATGGATCCATTATACCCGCTTAAAATTGCTAGTTTACCTTCTTGCAGTTTCTGGGAGCTTTTTTTTTTTTCATGAGAGATCTTTTAAAGCAGTTTTTGCAGCAATTGAATCGCAAATGGGCTCTTATAGGTTGCGCTAGTGAAAGTAGCATATCAAGATGCTAACATTGCTCGATCTTTTTTCCAAATTATGCCCGGTTTGAAATTTATGCTATTTATTCTTATAGTGGGTTCTTCAAATAAGAAACACAAAACTAGTCTAAGTTACATATTTATGCAACGTTAATTTGTGAATATGTGAAATCACGTATGTGAACTGCGGTTAAAGAAATGAATGTGAGAGCGATCTTCGCAGTAATGAACACTACTTATTGTGCAGTAATGAAAATAAGGCCTTAAAAGAAAAAATTTAGGCCTGCACGGGACTCGAACCCATGACCTCTACGATACCGGTGCATTCCTCGACCAACTGAGCTTGTCATTAAGTCGGTTCGTAATAAACCCGTCAAGTTACAAGACAACGTTGACTCATTTTCACTACTGCTTAATTAAGTAGTGTTCATTACAGCGAAGATCGCTCTCATGCTCATTACATATTTATGGTTAATAAAACATGATATACTCTTTATTTTTAGTTACATACTTCCTCTGCCAAAACATATCAGACATGCGTGAAGCTTAATGTGTCAAAATATACGATGTTAGCCTCTGTTAGCATCTGTTAGCACCACGTCTTTTTGACGCCATTTTCTTGCCGGTGAAAGCGGGAACTGGGACCGACGCAATTTTAACTTACGGTTTGTCCACTCCTCTATAGACGACGAACAACTCGGTATTGCGGTAACCTTCTTCCCTCAAGACATAATAAACCATGGACTTTTTGGCGTAATCAGTCTTAGAGACCAAACATGTCTGGTAATATTCCCCTTCAAAACAGCTAGAAATATGCTGTTTATGCTAGCTATGCTGCTTTTATAAGAACAGTAACAATCTGGGCACGTATCGGCAGAGCAAAGCAGGCCTTCAACTTGTGTCATGAACTCTTTTTAATACAAATCCTTCAGGGCCACTGGTCACATGGACTAAAAAGAACTATCAGGGCATTATTTTGACGACAATACGCAACAAAATGTCTCTCTTCGCTAACCTGAGAAATTGCACCATCGGTCAAAATCCACACCCATTCTTTGATCATGTCCAGTCCCTCCGCTTGTTTGAGCAATTGTGGTACATAATCGGCTGGGCAGCTCAACAGTATCACGCGTGCGCCCTTTTCCCTCAGATTTAGCAGGTTTTTTGTCGCATTTACTTTAGAGCTGCCGACCGTGATTTGAAAATGCTCAACTCCCAGTATGGTCCACTTTTCTGTGCTAGCAAATTCCATGAATTGGTTTAATGCATTCATGTCTGAAACATCAAAGATGCAGAGAGTGAAATATCATGATGTTCATTAAATAATTTGATATTCATTATCATGCGA